CCGTATCCCTTTGCACACTCCCCACAACTTGCCTTTTTACTTATTTTTGTATCAGCAGCAAATTTGGCTACATTATAGTTGGTACCTTCAACCAGGCCTTTAAAAGATCAGAAATAGCTGAGGCCCCAGCACTGATTACTGTGACACTCCCCAAGTTAGTTTGCTGACATGAGCTGTTATCTTTATGTGGCTCCTTCTCAAATGCTATTCAAAATCTAAATACACTACATCTACTAATTAATCTTTACCCACTCTATTTGTTACATCCTCCAAGCAATGTAATAAGTCAGTTAAAACACAATTTCCCCTCTGTAAACCATATTGGCTCTACCAGATTGTATTATTTTCTAAATGTTCTACTCCTCTAACTGATGGATAGTAACATTTGCCTCATGGCAGATGTTAAACTAATTGGCCTTCAGTTGGCTTTTTGTTGCCCTCCTTTCTTGAACAGTGGTGTCACATTTAAGGCTTTTTAATCTAATGAGACATTTCCAGAATTCTAGAGAATTTTGGAAGATTGTAACCAATGCATCCATCATCTCTGCAGCCTCTTCCCAAACTATTTCCCACTAACCCCATTTCAAAGCTTGAAAATTGTGGTGACTGACTAATGAGTAGTGATGGCAGTAGAGAAGATGCATGAGAGCAGTGAACCTGATCAGTCATTGCTATCTCTGAGCTCACAACCCAGCTTGGGCTCCCAGCCCTAACTTTCATACTGCTGTTCCTTTTTTTTAAAAAATTATCCTTTGCTGGTTCCTTAAAACCTTCCAAATCTTCTGGTCCACAACTAATTTTTATAGCATTGAACATCTTTTCTTTTGATTTAATACCATCCATAGGCCAGAGTTAGCCAGGGATGGTGCATTCTTCTCATGAGCTCATTATTTCTCATTGTGTATTTGTTTATTTTTAAGAGTTATGAAACATCTTCTTAAAAGTCAGCCACTGCTTTTCTATCATCTTGCCTTTTAACCTATTTTCCCAGTCAGTATCCAACTGCCTTTATACCTTTTTGTAATTGCCTTTTTTAAGACCATAAGACAGAGGAGCAGAAATTAGACCATTCGGCCCATTGAGTCTGCTCTGCCATTCAATCATAGATTAGAATCCCTACAGTTTGGAAACAGGCCCTTCGGCCCAACAAGTCCACAGTGACCCTCCGAGCATCCCACCCCGCTAAACCCATCTAATCCACTCATCCCTGAACACTATGGGCAATTTAGCATGGCCAGTCCACATACCCTGCACATCTTTGTGACTGTGGGAGGAAACCGCAGCACCCGGAGGCAACCCACGCAGACATGGGGAGAATGTGCAAACTCCATACAGACAGTTGCCCAAGGGTGGAATTGAACCCAGGACCCTGGTGCTGTGAGGCAGCAGCGCTAGCCACTGAGCCACCGTGCCGCCCGATGGCTGATAAGTTCCTCAATCCCTTTCTCCCCATAACCTTTGATCCCCTTGATAATCAAGAACCTATCTATCTCAGTCTTAAATGTACTCAATGACTTGGCCTCCATAGCCTTCGGTGGCAGTGAATTCCATAGATTCATCACTCTCTGGCTAAAGAAGTTTCTCCTTATCTCCATTCTGAAAGGTCTTCCCTTTACTCTAAGGCTGTGCCCTCGGGTCCTAGTCTCACCTACCAATGGAAGCATCTTCCCAACATCCGCTCTATCCAGGCCATTCAGTATTCTGTAAGTTTCAATTAGATCCCCCCTCATCCTTCTAAATTCCAATGAGTACAGTCCCAGAGTCCTCAAACGTTCCTCATATGTTAAGCTTTCCATTCCTGGGACTGTTCTCGTGAACCTCCGCTGAGTCCGCTTCAGGGCCAGTACATCCTTCCTGAGATATGGGGCCCAAAACTGCACACAATATTCCGAGTGTGGCCTGACCAGAGCTTTATAAAGCCTCAGTGGTACATCCCTGCTTTTATATTCAAGCCCTCTCAAAATAAATGCCAACATTGCATTTGCCTTCCTGACTACTGAGTCAACCTGCAAGTTTACCTTGAAAGAATCCTGGACTAGAACTCCCAAGTCTCTTTGCACTTCAGACTTCTGAATTTCCTCCCCATTTAGAAAATAGTCCATGCTTTTATTCTTCTTACCAAAGTGCATGACCTCATACTTTCCCACATGGTAATTCATCTGCCACCTCTTTGCCCACTCTCCTTTTAGGTTTAAGGTACAGTACTAGTTTATAATGTAAGTTTCACAGCCTTGAACTGAATGTGAAATTCTATTATGTTCTGATCATTCATTATTTAGAGGATCCTTTTGCCCTGAGGTAATTAATTAATAAATCTTTTCTCATTACATGTTACTAAGCAAATAATAGCCAGTTCTTTGGTTATTGGTTCCAGAACATGATTTAAGGAACTATCCAAATACAATATGAACTCATCTATCACTTTGCCAGATCTACAGTAAATCCTTTATATCTGCGAAATCACGAATTCGCCTATCCACACCAAAAAATAAGTGACAACAAAAGTCGTGTATACCTGATTTTTGACCTATTTTAAACACGCTCCCCACTCGTGAATTTCATCATTCGTGGAGGTTCTCCGGATCGGAGCCCACGCAGATGCAGAGGAGTGACTGTATATATAAAAGTTGAAATCTCCCAAGATTAGAGTAATACTTTTCTTGTAAGCTCCAATATTTATTCTGCTTTACAGTGTAGCAACTTCAGCTGGACTATAAGCCACTCTCACCGGTTACTTTCATTTGCTATTTCCTACTTTGACCCAAACTGTTTTTGTGTTTTGGTCCTCTGAACCATGTCCTTTTGTACTAATGTCATCCTTGATTGACAGGTCTCAAACTATTTTCTTTCTTTCCTGTCATTTGTAAAATGCCAAATATCCTTGAAAATGCACGTCCCAGCTCTGGCCACTTGTCCGTGGACATGGTTGCAATCATACCATGCTCATTTTCAGTGTGTTATCAATTCGTCCATCTTGTTACAAATGTGTGTATTCAGATAACAAGGTCAATATATTTGTGCTTTTATAGTACATTTATCTACCATGGCTTGAAAGACTTGTGCTTTCATCTTGCCTTTGCAACCCCTGTCAGCAGCTGAAAGACTAGGGTTAAAATAATCTGATTTCTGTTGTTGCTTGTGTAAGATGTAGCATGATTTTGGGAGGAGGAGAAGAGAGACAGAAGGAAAGAAACTATCCCAAAGAGCAAAGGTACCTTACTGGACCATGATTTTAAATGGCAAAAACCTCTTATTAATAGCATACACTATCTCTCTTAAAATCTGAACTCTGTTTAGATGGTTTGTACTAAATTAAATTTATTTCCACAATGTCAAGCTATTTCTTTTTTCTTTTAAATGACATACAGTGCACTTTAGCAATAAAATAAGGCTGTGTTTGTCACCATTGCTTGGTAGACCACTGTGTGCACATGTGTAATATCTCAATATATCCATTGTTGGTGTAGTGTAATGATGGAGACAGGAATTCATCTACAAAACTCTGATTTCACTGATATTAATGGATGGTTTCTTTGAAAATTTAGCACTTAGTGGGAGTAATACATTAAAACTTTGAATAAGGCAAACAGTTATGTGATAAAATCATAGTAAACCTCAAACATTTCCAAACCTTATTGCATTAGTAGGTTACTGTGACACACTTGGATGGCTCCAGGCTATAACTCTTGGTTGGATGCACACAAAATAATGCATTGTACATCCCATAGTTTAAAAATTCCTGCCCTTATTAAATCGTGCATCCTCTGATTATTATGAATTCTGCAACAAAAGATCTGCCATCATTTCTTTTAAACATGTATTAATCACAGATAAGTATACTTAAAACAAGAATTTCATTGGTAATCTGGAGCCCAAAGCTTACAAGCAGTGCACTTTGAAATTAGAAAACAAACCGCAGAGAATATAAATAGCATGTAACAAATTCATACTATCACATATCAATAGATTTGGATAGGATTTTATTCAGTCGTGGGACTTAAGCACCATTAGTTGTGCTAGCATTTATTGTCTGTCCCTGGTTGCCCTTGAGAAGGTAATGATGAGCTGCCTTCTTTTTCCACTGTGGTCCATATGCTGCAGATCCACAGTGCTGTTAGGAAGGGAATTCTGGGATTTTGTCCCAGAAACTCTAAAGGAACGGCAATATATTTCCAAATCAAGATGGTGAGTGGTTTGGAGGGGAACTTGCAACTTCTGGTGTTCCCTTATTTCTGCTGCCCTTGTCCTTCTAGATGCAATGGTCATGGGTTGGGAACATGCTGTCTAGGGATCTTTGAATTTTTGCGGTGCATCTTGTGTTTGGTACACGCTGCTGCTACTGAGTGTCAGTGATAGAGGGAGTAGATGTTAGTGGATGCACAAATCAAATGGACTGCATTGTGAGGATTGCTTTGGAGCTTCTTGTGTTGGAGCTGCACTCATTCAGGTGAGTGAAGCGTATTCCTCCCCACTCCTGACTTGTGTTTTTCAGATGATGGACAGGTTTTGAGGATTCAGGAGGTGAGTTGCTCACTGCAGTATTCCTGGAATCTGACCTGCCCTTGTCACTGTTTCTAAGGCTAATCCTGTTCAGTTTGTGGCAATTTCATGGGATTATTCATGATAAATTAATCTTGCATGGTCATTAAACTAGATATTCCTGGTACCGTTTTTTAAAAAAAACCATAATTGTGCATATGAGATAGTAGGAACTGCCGATACTGGAGAATCTGAGATAACAAGGTGTACAGCTGGATGAACACAGCAGGCCAAGCAGCATCAGAGGAGCAGGAAAGCTGACATTTCGGCTCTGGACCCTTCTTCAGAAAATTTCTGAAGAAGGGTCCAGAGCCGAAACGTCAGCTTTCCTGCTCGGCCTGCTGTGTTCATCCAGCTCTACACCTTGTTATCTCTAATTGTGCATATGTTTATATTGTTAAACTGTTGAGCTGCTTATTTAATGCATGCTTCCCCCTACCCCCTTATCTTTGTCTGTGCAGCATGTATGGAGTGAAAGTGAAGACTGCCTACCATTCCTACAATTGGTACAAGAATACATCTTATCCTGTGGAAAGAAGACTCTCTCTGAAGTACTGGAAAAAGTCTTTAAGTCATTTAAACCTGTAAGTGCCCAATTTACTGTTTAAAAGAAAATCTAGAATTAACTATTTGAACAAAATACTACCTTGTTTGTTCATCTTTTACTTAAGCTGTGTATTGATGGAAATAGAGTTTTTAGCTCTTGTGCTCTGACAACTTGTTTAAAAGGAATCTGTTTTAGGCTAAGTATCTCTTCATCTCCTTCCTTGCTTTTATCATCAATTATTCATTATTGAAACGATTCTTACTATGGTTCTTTTTCACTATAATTGTTAAACTGTTGATTTTTGGTGGGGTGCTGCCATGGATTTACACAGCAGCCTTTCACTTACGTTGGATTTGAATCTAATCCAGACAATGTACCTTCTTAAGGCACATGGGAAATTGATTTGGCCGGAATTAATCAAGTACCTATAAAATCAAAATTATACAGTTGCTAAAACCTGAAAGAGAAATGAGAAATGCTGGCAATAACCAGCATATCAGGCAGCATTTATGGAAGAAGAAACAAGCATTTTGGGTATTGTAAAGTCTGTGCTTTCCATATGAATGTGAGGCCTATGCATGGTTGGCTATAATTTAACATTTACAGATTAATCTCTCAAAATATTACAATTAGTTTTGGAAATGAAAATATGCATTGGTTGTAGAATGCAAGAAACGTTTGAAATGGAAATGTGTTGTTGGGCAAAGTAGTGCTTGACGATAATATTAGAGCCTGAAATGAACACACTTCCATTTCCTAGCACTATTAAACCTCATCTATATTTCCCAACTGCTTTTCTTGTCTTCTGGCTTCTTGCTGTTCCTGTCTTCCTCTTTGTTTGAGGACTGGGAGAGTTGGCAATTTTCAAAGAGGAGGGAGAAACATGTCCTTTAGTGTATCACTGTTATGATTTTACTTCAAATGTAAAGTTGTTGAAGGTTTTCTCATTTCTTCAATATATAATTGGTGTGATTGCCCTAGGCAATTGAGCAATGACCATTTGTGTCTTGCCATAAACAGCATAAATACTGTTCTTTTTGTAGTACTTTTTAAACCACAATACAATAGCTTTTAGAGCAATTCAAAATAGATTAGGAAATCTCCAAGTTCATCTTTGAAATGTTGAGTTCTGATTTTCATTTATTGTTTGAGCAAGGGAAATTAGCTGACTTGACACAATTGTTGTGAAACCCCAAAGGATCTGCCATTACAGTACATCCATGTAATTTTCTTGCAAAAGACTTCACATTTAAAAGATATTGATGTATAAAATATCTTTGGCACCAAAATGTGTGTTTAGGCCTGTATGTCTATTTAGGAGTCTGAATAGATTCCCCATGTTTCATCTAGTAAATATCTCTTTGGTGCTACGTTTAGAGTCAGTACTGGTTTTTCACCTCGGAAATGCACGTTTGGGATTATATCCTTAAGCAGGCAATATGTTGTTGCTAGGAGGTTGTGCTCACGACAGAACACACACAATGACACAGCAAAACGCACATAATAATAAAACAGAAATGGATCCTGCAAAAGAAAATATGAAGCTGGTTTCAAACTAAAATTTGTAGCATTTGCTAACTTGTCAACTATCCATGCAAAGGAAAAGAATTTGGTGTTCACTGAAAAACTTATGCAAGAATGGAAGGAGGAATCCAATCTGAAGACATTGCATAAGATCAACTGCATCATGAGAATACGGACTGTCACAGTCCTGACTTTAATAAGCTTGTATCAGAATAGATCCTTAAATTGTCAGCGGTTACATCAGCAATGCAATGAGCATGTATGCATTTAGTAGGCTAAACAAAGCCTTCGGTGCAGTAAAAATTTCCGAGCAACATGCAGTAGTACTGAAATGTCATGGTACTAAAATGCCTCTTAGCAGATAAAATCTTGTGTAGGTATAACAACAACAAGCTAGCTCGCCTCATCCTCCTTGATCTGTCTGCAAAACTTGACGCAGCTGATCACAGCGTTTTCCTCTTTTACCTCTCCTCCAATGTGGATTTGAGTGTGATTGTCTAGTTGCAATCTTACTGATATATTTACAGTCAGAGAATTGCCTGTAAGTAATATTCTCTGTCCTGAACCATGACCTTTTTTGGCCTCTTTCTAATTCTTATTCAATGCTGTTCCTGGGTGACATCATCTGGAAGCACAGCATCAGTTTTAACATGTAGGTTGACAATAACCAGTTCCTCTTCAAAGCTTCTCTCTCAGTTCTTCCATTGTTGGTAAGTTATCAGATTGTTTGTCCAGTATTCAGAACTGCATGAGCAGAAATTTTTTCCAATTACCTATTACAGTCATATGACTTTGGGCCCTAGCTACTGACTTCAATCTCCCTGGCTACTCCTTGTGGCTGATCCAGACTGTTTGCTGTTGAATCTGGTTCCAAGATGTACATCTAATCATACACCTTTGTGTCATCACTACATGGGGCACCTTTTTTTCTGGCTGCATAACTTTGCCTTACTCTGCCCACCTCTCTTTAGTTCACATGGATTTTGCATGAAACCTACCTTTATGTTCAAGCATTAGATCATCTGCCCTAATATCACTTTATGTAGCTTAATATCAGATTTAATTTTAACACTCCCATGAGGTATTTTGAGGCATTTTAATATATTAAAGGCACTATATCAATGTGTTGTTTTGAGCCAGTTGCAAAACCGTTAACAGTTGTCTTACATATTAGGAACCTGGTTCAGGAGATTCTGCTGTCAGATTTCAAGTAAAGAATTGAATGAGAAACTGTCGAGCATAACCACTTACTCAAAAAATAAAAGATTTTGGCATAAGTGGAAGATAGTCAACATGTTGGGGTGTATAGAGTCATAGTCGTACAGCACGGAAACAGACCCTTTGGTTCAACTTGTTCATGCCGTCCAGCTATCCTAAATTAATCTAGTCCCATTTGTCAGCATCTAACTCTCATCCCTGTAGAACCCTTCCTATTCACGTACCCATCCAGATGCCTTTTAAATGTTGTTATTGTACCAGCGTCCACCATTCCTCTTGCAGCTCATTCTATACACGCACCATCCTCTGCGTGAAAAAGTTGCCCTTTAGGTCCCTTTTAGATCTTTTCCCTCTCACCTTAAACCTATGCCATCTAGTTTGGCCCCCTCTAGCCTGGTGAAAAGGCCTTGGCTATTCATCCTATCCATGCCCCTCATGATTTTATAAACCACTATGAGGTCACCCCTCAGCCTGCAATACTCTAGGGAAAGTAGCCCCAGCCTATTCAGCCTCTCCCTATAGCTCAAACCCTCCAACTCTGGCAACATCCTCGTATCCCTTTTCCGGAACCTCTTCCTATAGCAGGGAGACCAGAATTGCACATGGTATTCCGAAAGTGGCCCAACCAATGTCGTGTACAGCTGCAATATGACCTCCCAACTCCTATATGCAATGCACTGACCAGTAAAGGTAAGCGTACCAAGCACTGCATTCACTATCCTGTCTGCCTGTGACTCCACTTCCAAGGAACTTGAACCTGCAAGGTTTGTTTGTTCAACAACACACCCCAGGACCTTACCATTAAGTGTATAATCCTGCCCTTATTTGCCTCTCCAAAATGCAACACCTCACATTTATCTAAATTAAACTCCATCCGCCACACCCTGACCCATTGGCCATCTGATCAACATCCTGATGTACTCTGTGATAATCTTCTTTGCTGTCCACTACACCTCCAATTTTGGGGTTATCTGCAATCTTACTAACCATACCTCCTGTGTGCATATTCAAATCATTTATATAAATGACGAAAAGCAGTGGACCCAGCATGGGTCCTTGTGGAATCTTGTGGCACACCATTGGTCGCGGGCCTGCAGTCTGAAAAGCAACCCTCCAGCACCACCACCCTCTGCCTTCTACCTTCGAGCCAGTTCTATATTCAAATGGCTAGTTCTGCCTGTGTTCCACATGATCTAACCTTGCTAACTAGTTTTCCATGAGGAGCCTTGTCGAACACCTTACTGAAGTCCATATAGATCATATCCACTGCTCTATCCTCATCGATCATCATCTTTTTACTTCTTCATAAAACTCTAATCAAGTTAGTGAAACATGACTTCCCACGCACAAAGTATGAGAAAACTTTTGACAGAAGTATTCTTAGTAAATGCTGTACCATTTACAAGAAATTGTGGGGGGAAAATGAGAACAGATGAAGTGATTAATTCTTTAAAAAGAAAATTAATCAACTTCTTTAGACACGTTAAATGAAAAACCTCCAAGGCAGGTGGAATTTGAACCTGGACACTACCACTGTGACATGAGTTCTAATGGTCATTAATTGTGTTAATTATGTTTAATTATATTCAAGTGGTGGGCATTAATTGGGATTTGCTTGTGCTCCCATGGAAAAGGAATAGATTGAAAGTTTAGTTGGGTGAGAAAGAGTTGCATATCTCAATAACTGAAAACACATAAGATGGTAGAAAGTTAGGCTCAATTTCGAATCATTAGCTTCATTAACACACAAGGGCAGGACTTATACAATTAATGGTGGAGCTCTGGGTAGTGTTGTAGAACAAAGACCTAGGGTTCAGATACATAATTCTTTGAAATTTGTGTCGCAGTTGGACAGAGTGGTTAAGAACGCATTTAGCACGATTGCCTTCATTGCTCAGACATTTGAGTAAAGGAGTTGGGATGTCATGATGAGGCTGTACAGGAAGTTGGTGAGTCTTCTTCAGGGGTACTGTGTGCAGTTCTGGTTGCCCTGGAAGGATGTTATTAAATTGGAGAAGATTCAGAAATGATTTACCAGGATGTTGTCGGGAATGGAGGGTTTGAGTTATAAAAATAGGCTGAATAGACTGGGACTTTTTTAACTGGAGGTTGGGGGTGACCTTAGAGGTTTATAAAATCATTAAGGACATATATAAGGTGAATAGCAAGGGTTTTTTTCCTAGGCTGGGACGAGTTCAAAACTCGGGAGCATATTTTTAAAATGAGAGAAGAAAGATTTAAAAAGGACACTAGGGGTAACTTTTTGACACAGAGTGGTTCATGGGTGGAATGAGCTGCCAGAGGAGGTGGTGGATGTAGGTACAGTTACAACATTTAAAAGATATTTGGATAAGTACATGAATAGGAAAGGTTTGGAGAGGTATGAGCTGAATGCAGGCATTTTTAGTTTGGGAACATGATCAGTGTGGACATGTTGGACTGAAGGGTCTGGTCCCATGCTATACGACTCTATAACTGGCTATGTAACTGCAACACACGAAAGAAGTGGAGAAAGAAAGGAAAAACAATGCTGTATTAATCAAGTGCCAATTTAATCAAATGTGGTTTATTGTGTCAAAAGAACACCATGTGCTGTAGAATTGGAAGTAAGGAGTGTAAATACATGCAATGTTAAAATCTGATATGATACTTCATAATTTGCGCAATAGCGGCACAGAATGTAACTGGAATATATTGTGAGACAGCCAACTGATTAAAGTAGGTTGATGAGAATGATTACAGGTCAGATTGCATTGTGCAAAAGATATGTTTCATTGTATACTCACTACTGTCTCCAAGAACTGTATTTGCAGAAATATTTAGTCTCATTTTGTAAAATTAGGGATTTTTAATTGAACAATCGACATCAGTACTACATGAAAGAATTAAGTGCTGAGTTAAGATTTGTAAAACAGAAATAGTTTGAAAATGTACTTAGGCTGATGGTTGACTCTTCAGTTATGGACAGAAATCTTGTTTTGCTGTTAGCGTACATATTTTTAGTTTATCAAAAATTATTGTATCAAAACAAATATCACAATTCCCAGTCCTGAAGAAGGGTCGCTAGATCCAAAATATTGATTCTGCTATCTCTTCTGCTATCTGAGTTTTGCCAGCAATTTTTGTTTTCTTTTTCCACAATTCCCTTGTTTGCTCAGTGCCGTGAACTGAGGGGAAACCCCAGTTTCACTCTTGCCTTACAGAGCTGAACAAGTTGATCTCCATTGGAGACTCAACTTGCAAGAACTGGAACTTTGCTTAACTTTCTCCCTACACAGACCTTCATACTTGCCCCTTCCCCTTCTCCAGTTTGCATGATCTTTGCTTTCTTTTTAAAGAAAAAGTTAGCTTTTGGCACTTGATCTACTCTGATGGAATTTTGTTACATGTTGTTACATCTCAAGTTGATTTATATAACTCACTAATAGTGCAATGTAATTGGCAAGCCATCTCCAGAAAGGGTGAAGGATTTATCCACACTATATTGCTAATACAATGTGTAAGTTCTACAATTTGAAATACACTATTTGAGGGTTTACCATCTGGTTCAAGACAGTTCTAGCCTGATAGGCTAAATGTGGTGATCAAAATTATTACTTAGCAGCAAGATAATATCAACACTTTTTTTTTGCTCTAAATGAGCATTTGTGCTGTGGAATAGTTGGTTCAACGTAAGTAGGTGGTTGGCAGTGTAATGGGTTAACGGCCGAGCATTAAGGTTCGCCTTTTATTTAATGATAGCTGCACAGTGTGCGTACTTTGTTTGCAGTGCTGACACTGCAGAAAACTTGGTAATTATGATGCAAGTTGCTATAGTTATAGCTGACTCTTACTAGCACTGAAACCTGGTGCTTAACTGGAGCTGTTCCTTCTCACTGACATGACTTGTGGGGAAAATTGCTCTTACTTGAAAGGTTGTTTTGCATAAATAAAATAAATTTCACATTCCATGATTCTGAATTTAAGACCCCATTCTACAGGCATGTGCAAGACCGTTGTGTATGCATGCTTTTATGGATTGCTGTATTTGATAACTTCTCCTATGTATTATAAGACTTCGTAATGTTCCTTCCTACTGCTTTTTAATTTGTACATTTGGAGGTGGGGCAGGTTCAACTTAAGTTGAACTTTCTATTTCATTCATTTTGATTTTGATAATTGCACTAACTCAGCATTTTGTGCATACAGTTACTGGGTCTTCCCGATGTAGATGATGATGCATTTGAAGATTACAACGCGGATGTTGAAGAGGAGGAGCCTGAAGCAGACAGTCAGCATATGAGTGTCAGTCAGCAGTAAATGTGCAGAGAAAAATCAGATTGTATGAAGTCTTTATTTTATTGATGGATGACCCATATTCTCTATTCCCATTCAACAATCTGAATAGTCTCTAATTGTATCAAGTTTGAAACAATATTCCTAAATATTATCTAGTTTGTTCTGTGTCATTTAACTGTTCATCATTTTGTCAAACTGTAAGGAGGTGTGAAAGTTTATCAGGCTATGTATATATATTAAAGTGTTTTCTTTTTGAAGGGAGCATCCATTATTTGGATTGGCCTGTATTGAATATGTAAAGCTGTATTAATTTCAGATTGTTTTTAAGTTGGGCCTTTTCTTAAAGGATGGTTTAAAATTAAATTGATGCAATCAGAATTTCAAATAAACTAGGTTTTAAGCCATACCTCAGTGATTGACCTACTAAAATATTCTCAAATTGTTTTAAGAATTGTTCACTGGAAAACTTCATATTAGGTCGATCAGTAAAATCACACAGATGTTAGAGCACAGGAACAGGCCATTCAGCTTAACTGTCCTGTGCTAATGTTTTTGCCCCGTAATGGCCTTCTTCCACTCAATTGTTCATCTAACCCTGTTTACGTAGCCTTCCATTTATTTTGATGTCATTTCATTTTCAAATACCTAGCTTTATTAAATATTTTTAAAGAATATTGATTGTGGGTATTTAACTGAAGTTGTCCAAGTATTTAACTTGTTCCTAAGCAACCTTTGTGATGAGTTGGTTTTTAGTGCAGATTTTACTTTATAAGTTCTATCAGGTAGTTTTACAGTGATTATTTCACTCAAAATATCCTTGAACATACTAATTAAAATGCAACACTGAATTAAAACTGACATCTGCTCGCATCAACTTGTTACATTGTAAAATCAAAGGAATGTGCTACTGTGTAGATGCTTGAGGGCATTAAATACCGTTTTCTGCTACTGCTGTATGTACTGCAGGTACTGTTTACTGTACTGCATTAATTATTGCTTGGCTTTTAATGCACTACAGTCTGTTGGCTACTTTACTGATTACTTCCTATGCATCTTAGACAAAACATTTCCAGCTATAACATTCCCAGTTGTAGATCAGAAAAGCACAGATTTTAGTTCTCTGTTAATGTGCGTTACTAGAAGGAGCTGTAAACTTGCTTTTAGTTGGGGGGAGTGGGGGTGGAATTAGTCATGTGTATCTGAACGGATTTTTAAAAAATGTAATACTCATTGAATAATGGGTTGCTTATTCAAAATGTTGTAAGTGGTAAATTGTACTGTACCTGGCCTGTGGATCTCTTGTATTATATCTGTGTGTATACTGTAAAATAGAATGCCTTGTGTAATCGTAGGACATTTGAGGTTGCAGAAAATCTTAGTGTTTTAAAATGCCTTCTACTGAGATGCTAATTTGAAGCAGATTGGAACATTCCTTTGCTTGTGATTGGAGAGTCTGTTACTTTTATTGACTAGGGTAAGTTAAGGCCATAGACAAGAGTGTAAGTGTAAATATTCTATTCTACAGTATATATACTGTACAGATAATCAAAGTAAAAGCTTGGTCTGTACTTTGTGTGAACAGTACCCAGTGTTTTAATATGTTATGTGCGTGTCTAATTTTGTTGATCCTGAAGGAGGGAGGAAGCATCCTGTTAACAGCCATCGAATTGCCTCTTCCTTTTAAATGCATGGCTGGTTGACACAGGAGGTATTATTTTAATTTTGGTAGTTTATAAAAATTACTTTATTGTTGATGTAATGCTTTGTTACAACCTACAGCACTTCATTTATAGATACCTCAATGCTCTTGTTGACCTAGCAGTCTGGATTTAAAAAAGCGTTTAAAAACAAATTGCACAGACAGAATTCTCTAGCATTAACTAGCCTCACCTTTTGAAATTAGATTTAATAAAAGATAATAGTGTTACAGAACTTGGTTCTCTCTCCTTTTGGATTGGTTTAAAAGTATTACTTTTGTGCATTTAGACTGAATGTGTAAACCAAATGTGTTTATTTGTTTTTAATAGATATGAAAGGGATTTTGGATAGGTGAACAAAAGGATACTGTACTTTAATATGCTTAACACTCAACATGCTGGAAATAAATTATTCAAACATTGCTATCGCTGTTCCCTTAATATCTAAAGTTTTTCAATCAAAGGTCTCTTCTGAAGTGAACAGCTGTAAAACAGTGACATAATTTTGAGGGATTTACGCACAGATGATCTCGTTTGATTTTGTGAACTGAATAAATCTTAGCCATAATGAACTGACAACCCAAAATACTGATACAGAAACAATTGAATGGATCATGTGTACATTAAAGTCATGTTCTTTGCCCAGTCCATTGAACTGGCTGTTTTACTGAACATCTCCTTTCTCTTTGGGTACGTTGAGCATAAGAGAATGACCCTAACCATGCACCTCAACTTTACTCACTCAGTGTAGCCAACTTTCCTGAGTTTTTGCAACCATATTCCATGTCTGCGTTCTGTCTAACCCTACTCAATTCCTACTTGGGTATCCTGTTTATATATAAATTTATATAACAAAAGAAGTTAACAGTTGTGCCAAATATTTTTTTCCTTGTAGCCTGTTCTACAGATCTGTTGCTGTGAAGGCTGAAGAATTTCTATTTAATATTTAATTTTCTGCCTTTAAATACACAGACAAATTGTTCTTTTCTATCCTAACACATCCCTTCCCCTCTCATATTTTCCCTTACCTGTAACCACTGGAATGTGATTGAGTCCATGGTTAGTTGTGGGCTTTTAGTGAATTGCTAAAGTACTTCTCTTTGCAGTCGTCTTCCAAATAGTTAGCGACGAACCTGATTATAAATACCAAGTCTCTGAATCATCTGTTATCTTCAGTCTCTTTCATTCTGGGCTACTTTACTGATGTTACTAATGGCAAGGATCCATGTCCATTAAAATAGAACTATTTTTGAATGGGAGTTCAGACTCTGGACCAATTAAGGAGCTAATCTGGATGTGTTACTGGAAAAGTGTATAAGTGGACAGGACATTATAAAAGAATTTTTGGCATGAATTACTGAATCTTTATGGAGGAGTAAGTAAAGAATACAAGGTTAACTGAAAAATATTAGGAAGGTATCAAATAGTACAGTTGTTAACAAAAAGCTGGATGCCAACAAACTAAGCATACTTTCACAACTGAAATACTAGAAGTTAAAAGTATCTCATGTAGGTAAGTGTAAATGTAATTCGCTTTCATGATGTGACTGTCAATGACAAGGCAGGGATTTAATCTTTCAAATTTTCACTTCATGGAATTTGTATTTACACTCTGGATTAATCAGTCCTCCAGTAACCAACACTGTACTGATGTAACTGAATATTTTTAAAAAATTGGATCAGGGTGTTAGTACAAATCTCTTGCAAATGAGGATCCATTTAACATAATGCTTGGCAATAGGAAAAATCATATAGCAGTGTTTTTTTTTTGAGATGATATTGCCATGAGAGTGGTGGTGTGAATTCTTGAATGAATAAAAATTTGCTCCAACTGGGCTTGGGAATCTTCCTGATAACCAGCTTCCCACAACCAGTTGCAATTTTGAATTATTAGTCTTTTTTTTAGAAGAAAGGACCAATATTTATGATATTTCAAAAGCATTCCCAACCAATTAATCACATGAAAATGTAGAAACTGGTATGGCAAACATTGCAGCCTATGCAGGAAGCTATTTTATGGCATGTTTTGGGGCCTCTGTAGTTAATCATTGATTGTGAGGTCAATGCTCTGTTATGGCACTGACCTTCTGCCATTTTACTAATTCTGTTAATGTTGTATTGTCTAGCTTCAAGGGCCATACAATCTGTGAACTGCTTCATTGTTGCTAAACTGCTGGAGGCGTTGCCCCAATATCAAGGGAAATCCTCTTAATTCACACTACTGAACTCTGGAATTCTCAGCATTCTTTAAGTGGACCACATGTATAATCTGAAGCCTGCAAATTTATGGATGGCACTGTATAACTTAGAGTACACAGCACAGTTAAACCATATTGTTTGACTATAACTAATTGTGGAACTTGTATTCAGGAACTGTAATTTTATTGAAGCAAAATAAAACAAATAGTGCTTGGCTTACATGGTGTACATGTCCAAAATACTTGTCGTCATCCTGGAATTTTTAAACTGAATCTTTAAAGGTACATTGTGCTCAGTAAAACTGCCAACACCCATTGAACTGTTCTAACCTAGAAATTGGCAACTTGAGATACTTGTTTCATTCCAAAAAAAAGTTTTCTTGCAGTCCACAACATAGTGTGGTGAATCTGTTCCACTCTCAAGCAGATGTAAACCTCTTGTCCATTTGTGGTTCATAAAATCCCTCCTCGATCTTAAATTACAGCAGACTCTTTCCTTTTGTTTGTAACAAATGCTGCAATTTCAGAAGTTTTGTCTAAGATAGCAAACCTACTTTGTTTTTTGAGGAGCTTTTCAAACCATTAGGGTCTCCTTGGTTTTGAAATTGCCTGTCCCAGTAGAGTACTTCAACATTGGAACTGTTAGAATTGTTTTTATTAAATGCTTGGCTCATTATGACCCACTGGGATAGCATGCCATAAATCGACCCATGCTCTGGCCAGAGTTGTACCAATTTTTTTAAAAATGTGTGCAATGCCCCAATTTACCTAACTTCAGTTCAGGGTTGATTGAAAACACCGACCAAGTTTCTGTTGTAAAGTTGCAACCTGCTACTCAAGAACTAATATGCTTCACTTGTAGGCAACAACTTGGCTCCTGATAATTTGTGCATTGCAGGAACCCGCAGCCACAAGAAGAGAGTTCACAATAGATATCAAATTCCTTGCTGTGAAATTATGCAGTATTCCTGGTAAATCCCTGTTAAAAGTAGTTCTTAATGTTATGTTCACTATCAACAAAATGCTTTTGTACTAACACTTGCTTAGCTTTTTTCCCTAAAATAAGGTCCATCAATGCCTCATCTCGTAGGACTTTCTGTATACTGGTTTAGTAAACTCTTGGATATATCCTTCTTTCATCCCCTCTAAGCATTTCACACTTTGTCTATCCTAGTTAATTTGGGGAAGTTGAAATTCCCTGTAGTTATTACCATTCGTGACACCAAAATTGGCAGTGTGGTGGCCAATGAAGAAGGTTATCTCAGCGCAATGAGATCTTGATCAGATGGGCTAATGAGCTGAAGAGTGGCAGGTGGAGTTGAGACAAATGTGGAGTGTTGCAATTTGGTAATGGCAGGACTTATACAGTTAATGGTAGGGCCCTGGGGAGTGTAGCCAAACAGAGAGACCTAGGGGTGCAAGTGCATAGTACTTTGAAGGTGGAGTCACACGTATACAAGATGGTGAAGAAGGTGTTTGGTATGGGTGCCTTCATTGGTCAGTGTATTGAATATAGAAGTTGGGTCTGTGTAGGACATTGGTGCAGCCATTTCCACTTTTAAAATGTGTATTCAGTTCTGGTCACCATGCTCGAGGAAAGATTTGGTTAAACTTAAAAGGGTTCTGAAAAGATTTACAAGAGTCTTGTCAGGATTGGAGGGTTTATAGCTATAGGGAGAGGCTATATAGATTGGGGCCTTTTTCCCTTGGAGCTATTGGAAGCTGAGGGCTGATCTTTTATAGAGATTTATAAAATCATGAGGGGTATGGACAAGGTGAATTGTCAAGGTCTCCTTTCGAGGGTAGGTGAGTCTAAAAATAGATGGCATATGTTTATGGTGAGAGGAGAAACTTTTTCACACGGAGGATGATGCATATATGGAATGAGCTGCCAAAGGAAGTAGTGGAGGTTGGTACAACTGGAACATTAAAAGGCTTCTGGATGGATATATGAATAGGAAGGGTTTAGAGCGATATAGGCCAAATGCTGCCAAATGGAACTAGATAAGTTTAGGATATCTGGTTGGCTTGTAGAGAGTTGAACTGAAGAGTCATTACTCTATGACTGTTATTCTTACATTTATCTGGAAATTACCAACACATTTGCCCTTCTGTCTTTTCCTGATCGGGGGCTATTGTGCACTCAAAACAATAAGATTTCCTGAAATTCAGAAAAATTAGATGATTTAAGAGTTTTATGTATTTAAACAATAAGAAACTCTCAATGATAGAAGGATATTTCTGCTGTTTTGAGAGGCCAGAATGAACCATGACAACCTCCGAACAAAGGATTGGCCATTGAACACAGATGTTGAGAAATGTTGTTTTAAAGGTGTGGATCTTTGAGCGTCCACAACCCTCGGACAGAAATTTTTCAACGTTCAACACGCATATTGGAAATGGGGATAGAACAGAGGCAAATGAAAGGGCCAAATGGTCATCTGCGGCTGCTATTTATGTTTGCGTGATAGTGGTACTATGTAGATTAATGTTCCTGTTGATAACTGGTCTCTGAGGACAGGTTCCTCTATTTAGCTGCCTGTGAACTTTTACAAGTGTAAATCAACCACTGCTTTAAGAGGCATTTAATCTTGAAATAACTCCAGAGGCCGGTATCCCGTCACCAAGTCACTCTTTATTTATGCGTACATAGTACTTTACATTTGTCTGGCATCCTGAGAGTCAGCTCTGAGTGAACAGAACCCTCTGACACTCGTGTTGGTATCTGTCAGCCAGGGCTCTGTGATGGGACCAGATTAACAGCTCCAATCAGGGAACTCGTATGTAATGAGGCTGACCTCATTACAATCACTACAATTCCACTGCTGTTAATATTTTGCTTTTTAATAGTAATAATTTCAAAATCCCCCAGAATTCCACATCCCTCCACAAGAGGGCTCCGTAGAGTCTATTTAAATAAATCAGGACTTTTATCAAGAATGTAAACAAACACCAAGTGGATAGTCTCCTGTTTGAAAGTTACTTTGTACTTGGAACACAATTTTGGCCTCAGCTGCTGAATGTCAGAAGATAAAATTGCCTGGAGGTGCCAAAATAAGACACATACAAGTACAACACTCAGTGCTGATTATGCACAAATTTTGGAGAGCAGTGTACCTAGGCTGCTTGCATTAACCTCCACGGATTTTGCTGACAGACACACAGTTGCACTTTGCAGGATGTCTCAAAGATTGAGAGGGAGAATGCACAGACTCTTGGGTAAAACATTTTTGAACTAAGAGGATGAGGTTTGGGGAAAAAAAAACGGAATAACCACTTCTGAAGAAGGGTCGAGACCCGAAACGTCAGCTTTCCTGCTTCACTGATGCTGCTTGGCCTGCTGTATTCATCCAGCTTTACATCTTTTTATCTCAGATTCTCCAGCATCGGCAGTTCCTACTATCTCTCATAACCTGTAGCCTGTTGGGAAGGGGCAAGGAGGTTGTCATGTCCTCCTGTTCCTTCACCGGCAATTTCTATAGAGTTAGGCCTATTGTTGTTCCCCTTAGAGTCCTTTTAAAAATTGTTTTGAGTTTCTAGTGACCAATGTAGAGGAAACACAAAGTTTTATGTTTTAAGACTTACAGTAACACTTTTTTTAAAAAAAATCAGCATCAGCTAAGCATTACTTGGGCAATTCATTCATCAAACCATAGAACAGGTATTCCTCGCTAGTTTCAACATGACTGAGAGAAACTTTTATATATTATGCCACACTCTCAGAAGAACTGTCATCTTGTTTTTTGAAGTCCTGAATCCATCCTCATTTCAGTAAGTTATTTTCTCCCTGTTGCACTGGGGCACATCTTCCTGGGACTTCTGAAAGTTTAAGAGAACATACAGAAATATGTACAGTAATGCACCATTTGGCAACTTCTTGGTCTTAAAATCTTTGCAAGGTCCAGCTCTTTCATTGCAATCTGCTCTCAAAGCCATTACTCTCCTGCATCTTCACCCAGTGGCATCTCTCATGCTCTCTCCAGGGTCTCTGCTTCTGACTGACTGAGAATCTAACCATCTGCAAAAAGTCAGGGCAGCCATTTCCTACTTTGTGTTCAAGTAGTAAATCTGGCATTTGGATTTCAACAGGATTTCACCTGTATCCCACTCTCCGTGACAACCACGTCATATTGATTTTTTTTTGGGGGGGGGAGCAGAAGTAGTAGGAGGTCACCTAGTCTTTTCCCTTGAATTTAAAGAGACCATTTGAAATATAGCACCTTAAAATCTTGCATTTGTAGCACCATGTGTTGCTTCTATTTCTCAGCAAGGGGCTAAGCGGAAAATGGTTTAGCCTGATTTGCGGCATGCACAGTCAAGAAACATACAAATTAGGAGCGTCCATAGGCTATTTGGCCTGTTGGACATGATCTGCCATTAGATAGAATCATGATCGTGGCCATAACTCTATTTTCCTGCCAACCCTGATTCAATTTCACTCCCTTGTCACTCAAGAATCTATCTACCTCTGCCTTAAAATCATTCAATGACCATGCCTCCACAGTTTTCTGGAGGAGAGGTGGAAGTGTGATCTCTGTATATATTCAAGGGGGGGAAGACCAAGATTAGTCTGAAAATAGCCCATGGGCCTGTTTACATTCTGCATGGATAAGATGCTGGTGTAAGCCAATTACCCCTTTCACGCATTCTTTGTACCTCTTAAACATAGAAAAGGTGAGCAACAGTAGGCAATTCCAACAAGCTGGAGTGGTACAGCACTTAACCTTTTTAAGAGGCGTCATCTTTAAATTTGTGCAATGCAATTTTGTGGCTGGATTCGTGAAATCTTGACAATGCTTTGGGCTTTCAGATATCCTTTTAGGATCTTCCACAACTTGGCAGGAAGTGAATGTTAAGAAATGAGTATCCTGTCAAGTTGAATTAGAAATCATCAGCAATAACCCATTTTCTCATAAACAGCAGGTAGAAGATAACACTGGGACATGTGCCTGAGCTTTAAAGTCCCACCTTTACCATAACCATAGCACCTGAATTTAGTGCTGAAAATTGCCTCAGAAAGGGTTGATATTTTATCCCACCCTGAAGGTGCAAAAGAATTAATTCATCAGTATCCATGCTGCTCAATATCCAGTTAGTAGAATGTTTGATGGCCTGATACTTGCCATAAGCATCATCAAAGAAATATTATAAAGCCTTTTTAAAAGAAAGTGCTCTTTTTGCATTTTTCTTTGAACATCTTTACAAATGACTGATATGATT